TAATTTGAACACCTACTATAGTTAGCTATGGATATCCTCCAAGTTCAGTCGAAAATTCTTTCATTGTATAATAACCCTAAAATATATGTTTTCTTCTCGTACCATATATGCACCATCGTCCCGCATATCAATGGCTTACTGGTCATGGTTAATGTGGCACACAGATGCAATGTTGTTAATAGACACAACAAAGAAACATGTGAACCTAAAAACTTAATAACAGTGTGACAAAGCCTATATCATCTTGTTAACCATGGCAAGTAATTAACAAAAAGTGACATGATTGTAAAATGGAAATGTGGGAGCGATATTGAAATTTGGGAGTATTATCATTTCTCTTGTAAACTGATTTGCCAGTTGCTGAGAGGTTCATGCAAAATCGATGCCGAGCAAAATCAACTAACAGATACCTAGGGTGTGGTCTTGGTTTCCTTCGAAAGCAAATACCTAGGCTTACCTACTCCTGAGGGGAGGATGAAGGAGGATTAATTTCCCTATTTTGGATACATTTGGTAAGAGATGCAGCGATTGGTCTGACAAATTTATGTCTTTTGCAGCAAAAGAAGTTCACGTCAAATCAGTCGTGCATGCACTTCCAACCTTCACAATGAGTGTCTTTTTACTCTCCAAAGGCTTTTGCGACAAATACGAGAAATTGATTAGGGACTTCTGGTGGGGAGACACGGAGGGTCAGAGAAAGGTTCACTGGATGTCTTGGGATCGTATGACAAAACCAAAAAGTGTTGGAAATATGCACCAGAGGCAATAATAAAATGGTTATTATTGTATTTCCTTGTTCATGATAATTGTCTATTGTTCATGCTATAATTGTATTAACTGGAAACCGTAATACATGTGTGAATACATAGATCACAACATGTCCCTAGTGAGCCTCTAGTTGACTAGCTCGTTGATCAATAGATGGTTATGGTTTCCTGACCATGGACATTAGATGTCATTGATAACGGGATCACATCATTAGGAGAATGATGTGATGGACAAGACCCAATCCTAAGCATAGCACAAGATCGTGTAGTCCGTTTGCTAAAGCTTTTCTAATGTCAAGTAT